CGTCGTTCTTCCCATAATTCTCCTCTGCACTGCCCAGCAAACCATTGGTTTTGAAGCCTCCTATTGCTCTACTCTTTCTTCCCATGCTTGTGACTCCATGGGATTTAGGGCAGACCAGAAGAGACAAAGGGATCACGATCCATACAGATCCATTGCAGGTCTGGGGAGTTAACTTGGGTGGGGAGTGCTGTTCCTTGTAGAGCTTCATAGGAGCCAACTGCAGCGGAGCTGAGCCTTTGCTGAAGGCCCCCACTAGGTTGGCCTGGCTACACTGAGGATCATTTCAGTTCCCTTTCAAGGGAGCACAGGGGAGGGTGTCATATCTCATATGCACAGAAAGGGCTTTCCTTAGTTAGAAAACATGTTGGTACAAAAAGTGAATCAACCTTGGGGGAATAAAAGGAATAGAAACCATGAGTTTATATCAAGCAGTGTGGTCCAGTGGATGGGGTACTGGACTAGGAGTCAGGAAACCTGGGTTCTACTCTCCTGGCCTTCTGAGAGATCCTAGGCAAGTCACTTCCTGACTCTGTTTCCCTTCTAACACTTTGTCTTCTGCTTAGATTGTATGGGGTGGGGATTGTGGGCCAGATTTTCAAAGGTATTTAGGTGTCTAATGTTGCAGATAGGTGCCTAGTGGGTTTTTGAAAAGTACCTGCTCAGGCTAGATAGCTAACTCCAATTGATGTACATGGCATTTAGATGCCTTTTTGGAAATCTCACAAGTGTTCTATCTGCATCTTTAGGACTCTAAATACCTTTGAAAATCTGGCCATGTGCCTAGCTCAGCTGGGCCTTGATTTTAGTTGGAGTCTGTAGGTGCAAATACTAGGCTTTAGATTACAGGGGAAAAATTCACTACGTCGTGCAGGATTTGTGAACCCCCAAAAGAGTCTGATAGGTTCCCAAAACCTGGCCCCTGTGCAGTTCATCCATTATCTTTGGGGGACAATAAACTGCAGTTCTGTTTAATCTGCAACTGTCCATTCTCAGCAAAGCTCAAAGCATCTAGAGTACAAAGTGTGAACCTTTTTTGTTGCTGGTAGATTGCCACAAGATAGAGACCATGTCGTCTGTTGATGTACTGTGCTAGGGTAAAAATATAAATCGCTCTGCTACCAAAGGCATTAACACTTTGAGGAGTCAGCAAATCAGCGGCAGTGGTTAAACTCATTAGCGTTAGGTTAACTCCCATTGTGAAGCTTCTGGCTTCACATCAGAGGGTAATAAACCACTGAGCGCATCGTAATAACTGTTATGATCAGGAAATTTGGGACATGTGTCATTACAGAGAACAAACAGAGGCAGCAGAGGTGTCGGCCAATAATGCTGCCGAGGGTTCGGTGCCATTCCCTCCCCCCGCTTATGCACTTTATCAGCTTTTCCTCCCACTTTGGATGCAAACAAAGTCTGGCCCCTACCTGCGGGTCAGGAGAGATGAGAAACAGTGTTACACAGGATATTCCCAGCATTTTCAATGCTTCCTTTTCAGTGCGTTACGAACGTCTGACTGACATGTCCTAGCAAAAGCGCTCTGGGTTCCCGCGGGAGCAGTGTGGCCATAAAACTCAAACATAATAATAACAAAGTCATAAATTCTGACCTGTGGTACAGTATGAGCTGAATAACAGCTCCCCAGCTGTGGAATATATGCCCTTGTTATGTGAAGATGGCAGACCTCGGGGGTGAAGTTCATGTCATATTTGTCCCATCATATAGCGCCAGACCTGTTTGATAAGCTCACAGCAGCCAAAATCCCAAGCGGTAGGACAGACGCCCAACGATGTTTTCAATCTGTTATGATTTACTGCTTATTTTGTAAGGGCTTTTAAAAAAAAATATATCCAGCGAGGGGCAGAAAATGGAGTCTGGCAACAAGTGTATGGTTCTCTAAGACATCCACAGCTTCCCAAGATGTATTGTCTCAGAGGTGCACCCTTTGCACTGCCAACCTCTTTGGGACATTGGGGATAGATGCAGCCCCTATCCCCCTCAAAAGGCAGATGGAATATCCCCAGTTAATTCCTGCTTATTATGGGTGTCATTCACCCTAACTCAGGAGGTCTGCTCCAGACCCTACACACCTCTCAGGACTTCCATAAGGGCTCATGAGGAGCACAGAGCCTTAGGATGAGTTCTGTTCGGCGGTGATTTTCTCCCTCCATGATTGTGCTGGGGTTTACAGAACCCTCACAAAGGTTAAAGGAGTGGTGGAGCACTATTGGGCAAAGAAGCCCCCCATCCCTCAACAGCTTCCAGGTACGCTCCCTATGGAAGACTGGTTTCATAGGGAGTTCCGGCAGTCAGGTGTGGGGAGAGGGAAGGAGAGATTGACTGCAAGAAGGCAGACAGTGTTAGCTGCTGAGGCAGAGAAGGGGGAGGACTGGGAGTAAGACTCAAACAAGAGCCTGACCCAATCCCTGTTCTCCTCTTTTCCTTGATTGGGGGGAAAACTGGACACTGAAGGTATGTCTACACTGTAGTTAAATGATCATGGCTGGCATGTGCCAGTTGACTCAGGCTCATGGGGTTTGGGCTGTGTGGGGGGCGGTAAAATTGCAATGTTGATGTTCGGGCTTGGGCTGGAGTTCAGGGATCCTCCCTGCCCTGCCTGAGAGTTGTGACTAACCAGGACTTGACCACTGGGCCCCTCAGACTTCCAAGACTCAGAAAGACTGTGTGGCCATGGTCTGACCACTAGGTCTGCTGGCCCCCAAGTGAAGCCTGCTACAATGACATAGCCATTCTTGGTAAGCTGCAACTCTGGTAAATCCTGCTGGTCTAGAAGAGTGAGTCCAGGGCATGGAAAATCCACTGATCTGTTTTGACAGGAGATCATGGAGTCTAGTGGCTAAAGTGTCAGCCTGAAATATCTGCTCAGAATCCCAACAATGAATATCTCCAGAGACAGGGAGAGAGAGGGGTAGCTCTCCATTGGCAGATGGAGGGGTAAGATGGCCTGGTTTGCTTTTTTTCCCATCTCTAATAGTTGGGAGGAAACATGTCTACGTTCAGTGAACATATTGCACTGGGCTGTGGGAGTACAGTGACTGATACATGGACATATCCAAACCCTGCCCAGACCTCATTCCCATGGTGTCCCTCTTCACCACTCAGCAGTGACACACAGTCCGCTCTCATATTCCTCCTCTTGCTTACCCTACTGCTTTCACTCAGTGTTTATATAGATGGACAGATTAGGGGATGTGGGGATGACTCAATTGCCAACAAAGCAGTCAATCTGTCTCGTCTTAGGGACATCTTAGGCATGGAATGTGAATTTCCAAAGGTTCCCTTCTCTTCAGAAATTGCCAAATTCTAGAAGGTCTGCGATTTGCATCACTGATTTCCCCTGTTGCTATGAATAATGCTGACATTTATAAATGCTCCCTTTTCTCTTGCTTGGGAGGAGGGTACTTTGAGTGTTTATAATAACAAAGCTTAGCTCTATATCACACTTTTCCACTTCAAAGAGCTGGGCAAACAGTCACAAATTAATCCTCACAATGCCCCCCTGTGAAGTAGGTAGGTATTTGTACTGCAGCTGTTCAAAAGTCATCTGTTCTGATTTGAAGAAATGTGGGGCACCTCCTTGCGAAGCAGCCCTTGCACAGTGTATCATTCCAGCGGTTCAAAGTAGCTCTGTGTCCAGCTTATCTGGCGGGTGAAGGATCCCCCATAACGTTAGAGGAAATATACAGCTGGGGTAGAGGCTCGCACACAAGCTGTCCTCCCAGCCTCTCGTAAAGGGGGAATATCCAGCAGAAAAAGGGAGCTTGGCTGGGGTATCTTTGTGCTAGCAAAACCTCTTGGTCAGAATGGCCTCTTTGGACCATAGGCACCTGGTCATCAACTAGAGAGGCCCTAAAGCTCCTGACTTTTATCAGGGGGACCAGACTGAACCACAAGCAATCCAGAACTGGGGGTAGAAGGTGATTATGGGTGGCTGCTAGAGTGTGCTGTTCTCCTGGAGCCTCTGGGATATGAGAGAGAGAAAGAGAGCGAGCCAAGAACCTGATATCTTATGCTCATTAAACACCCCATTGTATTTTCTCTGAGGGTTATGGGTAATAGCTCTGTTGTCCAGGCAAGTATCTAGTCTGAGAAAAGACATCATGCTTTTTACATGATTACATACATACGGTAATTCACCTTCACTTCCTGGTCTGAACAATTCTATGCTGCTGTGACACTTAAACTCCAGTGATGTTCTACCCCAGAGCTGGATGCATTTCAGTGGTTAATGGAGTGAGTTCAGTGCGTGTGTGTGAAGTGGCTTTCTCGTCTACTACACTAGAATTTGGTCCATATTTTAGATTCTTTAGAGTGAAAAGTGCCCCCTATTTTAAATTATTACTGTTGTCACATCAGTGAGTGCTAAAATAAGGAGCCTTAAGGCCAAGGATATTGATATTTATTAGTTTCTTATTTGGTTTCACTTTGCCTCCCCTTGCCAGTGTCTGTCGTTCAGAGGCTAGTTATCACAGGTCTGAATGGGCTATTTCATTGCAAAGCTGCTCCATAAGGGATCATCGCCCAATAAGTTGGTGGTGTGCAGGAATGGTGACTCCTGATATCTCCTGTGAGTTCTCGCTAGAGGCCACCCACTCCAAAGACTGTATGCCCTTTCAAAGGTAGTCCTGTGAAGAGATGATCATTGACCCATGGACCCAGAGTGCAACCTTCTTTTTGGTGCTAACCAGATATAGTCCAAGCAGTAGTTTATCAGGAATAGCCAGAGATACAGTAAAGCAAGAGAACACTTTGGACTTTTATATATATATTCCACTGATTTTGTTTTTGGTTTTGCTGTTATAAAAGTTGTAGTATAAATAAGCCATTTTCTGTTATATAAATAAGCCAGGTCTGTCTCAGTAAAAAAAACAAAAAACAAAAAAAACCTGATCTAATTTTGAGAGACTTGGAAGATCGTTAAAATTTCATAACAGGAAAAAAAGTTGTCCGCTTACAAGGTCTCTAGTGTTTAAAGAGCAAGAGACAAAGCTGCTGAGTCGTATATTCCAGTTTATCCTGTGGAATAGGAAGGAATGGCCCCAGATGTAATTATAAGTGAGTGGTGCACAGAAAGAGTGGAAAAGCCTCAGGAAATCTGAATGTCTAAGAACTTTTCGCCAGCAATTAATCAGTTCTCCTGGGTGTACAGTATGTGCTTTTTTTTGTCTGTCTGTTTATTTATTGCAAACTTCCTCAATTGTAACATATTTAATTTTGTCAAATTTTGGATGTAAAGTTTTTCCCCTGCCTGCTTCTGAAACTCAGTGCCATAACAGCAATGAACATGTATGAAATGTGAAGCTTTTTTTGTGAGTTACTGAACTGAAATCTAGAGTATGAAATTTCATTGCTGGACTGAGGACTTACTGACTTGAGTTTTATCAACCGAGCAAGCACCAGGAGAGTGAGATTAAAGAAAAAATGGAGTATCTGATTTCTGTTTTATATTTCTTTAACAAGCAAAAGAACACCAGGTCAGATATTTAAAAAGATGTGTCAGGATAATGGTCAGATATTTTGAATTTGTAGAATTTTCAAGAAATATGTGCTGTTCCTGTTCTTTAGCTCTACTTTTTTAAAACCATTAATGTTTTAAAAAAAAAAAAAAAAAAAAGCCAATCTAGATGAAACCTGAAAAATACATCAAATAGCAAAGCCTTCAAAGTCTTTCTGTGAAACACAACTTTAGATTTGAAGAAAAAACAATCATACCATAGTACATCTTAAATTTAATAACTGGTATGTTATTGCAATACAAAGTATAATATATATTTTACTATAGCCTGGTTTATAAATACACCTGATCCCTCTTAAAGTCTTGTATAATGATTTTAAAAGATCATTATTATTAAATGGCTTGCTCTATTTTACAGCATATTTGTTCATGATCACAAACCCTTACTATATTCTATTCTGTAATGAATCTATATTTATATCTTAAGTGTTATTTGTACCATTTTACAGCAATAAACATGTAGGTTAAAATATTTCAACTTTATTTTGTATTCCACATTTCCCCCATTATTTAGCTGTCTATTTTTTACAAGAGACACTGAAAAAAAAATTCTTACTTACCAGTTCCTATTTTAAAAGTAATTTCTAGAAAACTTAAAACTAAATATCAAATACAAGAAGAATGCATTTAATGAGAATTTTACATTGATAAATTATTGATTTTTGTTTAAAAATAGATTATAATTAAAATCCTATTTTATATCGATACAAAATTGGATAATTATGGGTGGAATTTTCAAAAGTGTCTAATTTGGGAGTGCAAGCCAATAGGATTTGTGTTCCTAAATCACTCAAGTACATATGAAAATCCCACCCAATTATTCTAAAACCTAAACCTATCCCCTATTTGTCTCTTAGAAATGTCCATCCCAGGAGGGGAGATTGGTTGTTTTTTATTATGTCCTGATTCTCATCCCATTCTTTTCATTTTGTTTACTAGCAGTAAGCGAGACTGTTTTTTCAATCTTTATTTACAGGGTTATAAAAACAAAACATAAGCAGTTATTCCGTAAAGAATTTCAAGGGAGGTATATTGATTTATGATTCTACATCTGCAAAGAGGTGTATTAATTTGATAGGTTTAAATGAAGTAAAGTAGATAAACATGAAATGACAGCTCTGAGTGCATTATTGTTCTGATCATGTGTATGTAGCTATCCCATTGATTTTAATGCGACTTTTCCAGATAGGAACTGATCCAACTTTCATTGAGGTCTATGACTATATGGGATCAGACCAGTGGAGTGCTTACAGGACTGGATTCTATATTTTCTTAAGGGTCTGCATCTTATTAATTTATAAGATAGGAAATTTATATCCATTCAGTTGTTTAGACTATAGATGCAGAATTTGTGTTTATGCTGTAATGTTATCTTTTTCTGTATGATTAAATATTTCAGTGATTTTGTGTACGCCACAAGTTTGTCACTCTTAAACAAATGAATCCCTATGGATTGATGAGAGGATGTAAAAAAAAAATGAACTTTTTTACCTAGAATCTGATTTGACTTTTTAAAAAGTTAATTTAGGGCTTGGTACTGAACAAACTTCTGTGGTGAGTGAAGTCTCCTCAAATCCTACTCAATTCACTGGGAGTCAAGGAAGCCTGGTGCTATATAGGAATACTCAATGAACTGAAAGGTCAAGACCCAATAGTATACTTTTGAGTCTATTTCTCCTTTTCTTTGATTCGGCGTTACCAGTTATTTTTCTTGTGATCGTTTTTCATACTGAACAACATGGGAAAACTCTAATCTATTTACTCTTCTCTTGAAGGTCATTTTTTATATGCTTAGACTAAAAGCAGTTTGGGAAAGGAAGTATATTTGCACAGCATCTTGCACAGTGGGGTCCAAATTCTGACTGGGGGGTAACTGTCATTCAATCAATAATTTTCCTTTTGAGACAACCTCATTCTTGAGTGTGTTAATCAACCTCCAGCAAGCATAAAGAGCGAAGAATACAGTGAGTGCTTCTTCTGGTTTAAGAGAGATTATCAGTGCTGTTAGCATTCTATATCTTATAAGTATAGGGTTTGGGTTCTCAACCTGGATGTTCTGATCACCCTCCCCACATTGTTAAATGTGAAGGAGCCCTGCCTAGATCCTGGCTAGATGGGAAGGGTGTCCTGGTATGGAGACATTAATGGGAGAAGGGAATCCATTATGGAAAAGGTTGAGAACCACAGCTATAAGGAGCATCTCTCAGATCAGCAGAATCTGTCAAATTGGAAGAAACTTTTTAAGGGTGGCTAGAGTATACATTGCTTAGGACAACATCTTAATGCACTTACAAAGAATTTTTAGGAGCACTTATTGGCAGATGCCATAAATATTGTCAGTGCAGTTGGGCTTCTGAACTCTGCAAACCAGGGTAATTGTGGGTGTAGAGGTCCTTGTTTGTTCGATCATCCAGTTTGCATCTGCAAATGCTAGTGTTCATTGGAGCGCGCTGTGTGTACAATTGCCTGATCTGCATGCATAAATATGGGATTTGTATGCACAAATAGGTGCACCCCCAACTAGAAGTCATTTGGAAATGTAGCCCTTAGGGACAAATTCATTAGGGGTGAAATAACTAAAAATCAGTGACCAGTTGCGCTGGATTGAGTCCCGGGTTATTCAGGTTTAGGCAGGCCTAGCACAGGTGCTGCTAGTGGTAAAAAGTTCAAAATTGGGAGGAGCTACCTCGAGGAGCAGCATGGCTAAGTGACACATCAGTATCCCCGTCATGGTGCTGTGATCATTGACTGCCCATGTGGTGGTTAATCCTCTCTCTTTGAATACCATCACTGCCTGCCCCTCACCCCCCACCTTCTCTATCACATTAACCATAAGCTGCCTGTCTTAACTTTCAAGGCCCTTCATGGGATACCCTACCTATCACCTCTCATTCATGTCAAAAGGTGAATTCCTGCCTTCAGTCTGTCCGTGATACCAGCCTCCATCACATACATTTTCAAATAAGCACCTTTATGCTTTCTCCCATGCTGTCTCTCATGCTTGGGAGGAGCTCAGGAGCGGCAGAAGGTCCCTAAAAGTGAGGGGCCCACCGGTGCCCGAATTGTGGCCCTGCTCCTTGTGCCACCCCTTTCCCACCCGAGGCCCTGCCCTTGCACCTTCCCTTCCCCAATGCCCCGCTCCAGCACTGCCTTCAAAACCCCACCTCCCCCACACTCCTCTCTGCCCCCCACCCCCTGTCACTCACCCTTTTGGCCGGTAAAAAGTGGGAGAGGCCATTGTCTCCTGGAGGAGCTCCCTGTAAACCTCAGCAAAACTACCTCATATCCTCCTCCAAACCCTTACTTCAAATTCTCCTTTGACTGTTAAAATCTCTCATTCTCAGACACTTTCTTCTATATTAGCATTATTATTACAAGAGCACCTCTGGATCCCTGTCGAGAATCAGGTCCCCCGGTTGCTAGGGCCTGTAAACGTAAAAAAGAAGACAGAGAAATCACAATCTACACAACAGACAGGCTGCAATAGGGGGGTGAAATAGACAGTAAGACAGTAGTAGGTTTGGAGGGTAATGTAAAAATAAAATGAACAGAGTAAGCAGAGACACAGAAATCACAGCTTGCCACTTCATATTCAGTGTATATTTTCCTTTCATTTGCTGAAAGAACCTCACCTCCACTGAGATTACTTACTTAACAATGTGTGTGAATTTTACTGCTCTTTGTTTTGCTTTTCTGTAGCACCTGGGGGAAATTGAGAAGGACAACTAGCCATGGATGCCTGATTCCACAATGCATCCAAATGCAGAAAGATACTGAAACCTGCAAGTCCAAGTCATTAAGGGCCTGATCCTGAGATGTACAGACCCTACAGACTTCAACCACTAAGAAATGAACAAGGAGGGAGGAAAGCATTTGAATTAACTGCATGAAGAGCCAGGTTAAAATGTAACCTTGTAAAGCCTTTGGAAACTGGACATGGATGTTCCAATTTAGTTGGGTAGAATGCATTTATATACAAACAATGATTAGAAACCCCATATGTATAAGCCTGCTTGTAAGTAGTTTATTATTCTATTGTTTTCCCATAGAAGAATATGGTTATTCAGGCATCATTGTGAATGGTCTCTTATTTGTATTTCCTGTCGAGCCCACTGCCCAGCCCTTCAATTCTCAGCTTCTCAAAGTCAATAAAGAATTAGGGACGCATTACAAAGCTGCTTTCCCTTGACAGTTATCCCACCTAGACACTGTGGCTGAGGTTTGGGTTCTTGCTGGCTAACATTGGATTGTGGCAGTGGCCGGAAGTAAGACTAGAGACATCTTTTCTCCTTCCCTCTAGCTCAATGCTCCCTACTTAAGAGGGCTGGTGTCAAAAGATAGGAGATGGTTCTGTTGTGTTAGAACAAGCAAATGGACAGCAGGCCCCTAACCCCAGTGTGTCTATCATGATGCTTTCCCTGCCATTTCCCCAGGTAGCCCCATAGGGTGGGCCACAATTGCATAACGCGTACAAGAGAAATAACACAAAATGGCTCATGATGCGCCTCACACTGTGAGCAAACGGGTATTAAATCCTCTCCGAACACAGGGGGACCGTCACATTTCAAAAGGGGCATTATTTAAAAAGTGATAAACCTCAGTGCAGTTTGTTGTTGTTGTTCAAACCCCCCCGTTCTTTAGAAAATGTGTTTGCTCAGCCTCACTTTTGACCTATGGAGAAAACCCACTAGCCAGCATGACTGATGCAGAGAACCAGTGCTTAACACTTAAACAGTGAATTCTGCACTGACTGGCCCATCTCCGAAGCCGAGCTGAATGATATGGATACACTTTCAAATTCTGCACTGGCTGCCAATCGAAAACTGGGTCCCTTTTTTTAATAAAAACCCTCATTTTCCAAGCCATGAGTGGACAACAGAACAATTATTCCAGGGATCAATTCTATTTCTGCTTCCCACCCTGCTATGTTCCCAAGCACTTTCGTTTATGGAGGCAGGGGTCATCTAGTAATTGTAAAAGAACCCAATGGAAAAGGAATCTGCCTCCGGCAGAAAGCAGAGCTCCAACTTCCTGGGCTATTTTGATGTATCTTTAATATAGTAAGGTGCTCACATACTAAGGTAATGAGCCCTACAGAAATGCTAATAACTATAAAACAAGGACCAGATTTGCTGGTATGCACCAGCTGTTTTACACCATGCCTTTGGTGCAAATCAGTTATCAGTCTGGTTTAACCAGCCAGTTAAACCAGGTTCAGGGTGACTTTACATCTCCAGATCAGTACAAAGCAGCCAGAGCATACTAGTGAATTGTGCCCTAAATACATGTGATAACATAGGAATCATTGCACTACATCAGACCCAAGGTGCATCAGGCTCCATGTCTCCAGAACACTATGCAAACAAACTGATCTGTACAACACCTGTGTGAGTAATTAAATACCCATTTGACAGATGGAGAAATAGAAGTCGAGAGATCAAGTGATCTAGCCAAGGCCATGCAGTGAGAATCTGGCCGAGGTGACATAAGAACTCCTCCTTGCCAGCTTTATGTTGAGTTCAGTGGGCAATGTTGCTTTCAGAGCCCCCAAGTACGAAGAAACATGTTTCTTGCATTATCAAATCATGTGACAAACATTAAATATTAAAACTGAATATGGCTTTCTTTTTCATTTTTGGTAAAGTCTGTGTCTGTAATTTCTTATGCTGTTATTTATGAAACAGCATTGGGACCTTGTTATGAAAGCAGGCATCTGTTATTCGGTTAATTTAAATGACATAATAGATGGATGTTTTGTGGCCTGGGAAAAAATAAACAGAAACTGAAAAAGTCACTTATTCCTATTATTGTTTTGACCCAATGAGAATTAATGTCAGATATGTGAATGGCTTCATGGTGAAATTCCTTGAAGGACATGTGACTTTGGTTCACACTGAAGCATCTGCCCTGTTACTAACTGTTGGCTCTCAAAGTCAGAACCTTAGATGGTGTAATAGTCAGACATATGCCAACTTCAGAGCAGTTGCAATTTCCTTCCAGGAAATAAAAAAATCTTTCCCCATCCTCTTGTAAATGCCATTTCCAAATCATCTTGCCAAGGAGGGATGCTGTTCAAGGCATGTCAATAATCACGGTTTGCTATGTATCCAGGGGTCGTACTACACACTAGATAGAACATAAATCTATCATCTGCCCCAGAACAAAGAGAGAAAACAAATATCTGAACATCTATAGGATCATGGAAATATGAGCCAGGGATTACAAAGAGCAAATCATGCCAGATTAACTTTATTCTTTATTTTTTTTAATAAAATTATAAAAGTACAAATTATTGAATTAGCAGATGACAGGACACCAGTAGACATAATGGCCCAGCCCACTTGGCCTTTCCTCTTCTCTGATTCTCAGCTCCCTTTGTCCTGAGCAGATCTCTTAATATAACACAGAGCAGCCCACAACTGCCCTAAATTACCCCAGCTGCCAACAGTCCCCAGGGGGTGCTTTGGTAGCTGGAGCTCAGTAGAGTTGGCAGGAGGGAGGAGTAGCACGGTAGAAATCTCAGGATTGGCTCTGTGCCACCAGAAGATCTCCCTGAAATGGATTGACCCTCCTATGGCAGGTATGCTGGCTTTAATTGGCCAGCAGTGCAGTGTACAACAACATCAGCGCTCTGGGCAAATCTGTCTGGATTTTAGTGATGCATTTGGTAGTCTCGTAAAATGATGAAAGATTGATCTGAACTGGTCTGGATATAAGCAGTCATCTGTGGTCTCCGAGCTGGCTGAAGTATTACAAACAAGATAATGATAAAAGGCAGCATGTCGGATTGGGGGAAACGTTCCAAAGGAGTTGGAGTTAAATCTAGATTTATTTAATGTATTCATTAATAAACTGGAAGAAGAGGCAAACGTTAATTACATTTGCAGATGAATGAGAAATGTGACAAGCATCAGTGAAGACACAGGAATAAAACATGGAAGCTAGAAATCCTGGCAGGAAGTAAAATGTGATTTGTCCTAAAAGAAAAGAACTGGTTAATACAAATCAAGAGCCCAAACACATTTATGCAGAAAGAAATGTAAAGACAGAGAGCGGACAGAGAATTTGAGCTGAGCTTGTCATGTGATATGGCAGCAAAAATAAGCCAAATGGGATTTAGAGGCTCCATAGGCAGAGATGGAATATCATGCCGGGAGGGGGGGGGGGTGGTGATAGCTTGTCTGAACAGGGTACTGGTGAGACAATACATATAATAGTGTGTTCCACTATGACCACATCAATACTGGGAAGATATCAACAAACTGAAGAGAATTCAGAGAAGAGCAATAAAAATGATGAATGGTCTAGAGGGATTGATTTATGAGAAAAGATTAAAAGAACTATGTATAACTTGGCCAAATTATTACTAAGAGAGGATGTGATGACTGTCTGCATGTATATGAATGTTGTAAAACATGGAGGAAGGAAAGGAATTGTTTGGTTGGCATAAGGGGAAATTTAGGATATGAAATTAAGCAAATGAAAATTCTGAATGAATAACAGGAACATTTCCTAATGGTAAATTCTATTCAATTTTGCATAACATTTTATATAAGCTGATCAGAACAAAACATTTCAACATGAGAAAACTTCTTAGATCTCAGTTATTAAGGAGATTGGGTCGTAATGCTTCTCTGAGTGAAGCAAGTAGCGAAAACAATCAATAACAAACTTAACAGAAAGGAATTAGCTCTCTCTGTTTATTGGTACAGCAGACCAACAATTTTTGAAAGTCCTGCCAATGAGCTAGTTATTAAAAATGTACTGAATGCACCCAAAAAGCTCTTGGTCCCAAATGTATATGCGTGTTTGTATGCTAATGGCTGCATTCCCGCGCTCTGAGTGTTCCAAAATATTTCCGAGCAAACTCTGCCAGTGTGAATTGCTTGTGCACCGTAATAGCAAGAGTACTAGGAAACTGACAAAAGAGGAAAACATCTTGATTTATTATCTCAGTTCAAACTTCTGGTGATATACAATGGGCAGTTGGGGGGAGATTTTTAAAATGGCTTCAACCAGACTTCCAAATTATGGGCCCAAGTTTGGGCACCTAATTTTTTATTGCAAGTGTAACTTGCACCTTAGCTATGTGTTGATATCTGTGCATTAGTCTTCGTGGTCAAAACCCAGTAGTGTCCAGATGCCCCATTAGCCAAAGTGTACCATTCTGCTAGGTTCTGGTCAAAGACGTAGGAAGACACAAACCCAGTATTCTGAAGAGCTTACGTTCTAAGAAGACAACACACCATGGGTTGAGGAAGGGATACTTGCCAAAACCGGGACGGTTAAGATCTGTACATGACAATCTACAATTTAACGTATAATTCTAGTCCTGAAACAGTGACAAAAATATGATAATCACAAAAGATGGAAGTCTGAAGCATCCCTTGCAGACCAGTTGGGTGTGGTGTCAAATACCAAGTTAGTGAAAAAATTAAGATTATTTAGAAGTATCAGGAAATAAATACAACACATGGAAGTTGCATTAAAAGCTATACAATCCATGGCACTATTGCATACCTCTAAATACACTTTTTCCCAAAGCCCCGCTGTATGAATTAAAATCACCTACTGCATCAATTGTCTCCCCTGCACCTTCTTGACAGCTTAGGTCATTATCCTATACCCATTTTGGAGAGCTTATACTTATGAAATGTTGTACATTGTCTGATTTTTTAAAAGTATTTTAAAATATTTTATTTTAAAATATTTTAAATATTTTAAAATATTCTGATTTTTTCAAGAGGGACTGACAATCTAGAACACTCCCTGAAGTCAAAGTGGGGGAATGATAGGTGCCCAACACTTCTGCAGATCTGTCACTATTAATTTAGGTGTATAGCTTTCGTCACTCTATTTTGAACATTTGAGGCCTCTACTTTTAAGCAAGGAATTATTTGTTCAGGTTCCAGGATTGCTGCAGCCCTGTGAAATGGTGGTAACTGGCTTCATTTCATCTACACTGATTGTGTCAAGACTGAAAATTATTGTATTTCAAAGTCTTATGATTTAAAAAATCACAAACAGGAAAGTATTTATATGCACGGAGCTCTTGCTGTGCACTACATTATCCACTTAGAATCATATTTCAGAAATAAGCTGTAAACACTTGGATGAAAGAATTGGACACTTCTATTGCCCCCTGACAGTGGGGTTTTGTTTAATTGGCCAACTTGGCTTTGGCATGTAACTTTGTTCTACCTATATTATATCATTTGACTCAGGATGGAATGTATTTGTTTGTCTTTATGCAGGAAAAAAGAGGAAATCACATTAAAATGGATAAATAAATACATTTACTAAAAAATGCTCATTCAGTTCTAAACCAAATGTATGCTCCAAATTAGATTCTTATTAAACTGGGATTATTTTTTTTTTTTTGGTTGGGAGCTTAATCAATTTCCACCACACTGACTATAGCTTATTTAAAGTCAAAATGCAAAAAACATTTTACCTATCAAGACTTTAATTAAATATTTGCACAGTGCTTTGAAGACATAAAAACACTTTGTAAGTGGTAAGCGTATAAAGACCCGAGTTTATTTCTCCTGCAATGATAGCATCAGGAATATTAAGTACAAGTCTGGGGTTCATAAAGTTTCCACTGAATCAAGTAAGGGGCTCATTGTCAGAATTCCTATCAGAGCTTATGACACCAACAACAGAGAAACCCAGAGCCCTGATCTCAGGACTTGGCAACTACATTAAGGTGATTTGTAATATATTCCGTGAGGCTGAAATCCATCCTGGTTTGAAGGGATTTATACAAGAAACTCCCACAAATTAGACCTTAGTCTGGGAACACATAGGAGGAGGGGGTTGGCAAAGATGTGGGGACAGGGTTGGACGCCATCTGCCAGTGTCTGTGGCAGCCCCAGAAATCGAAGGTGGGTGTCAACATTTCAATAGTGAATGAGAGATGATGGGCAGTGTGGGGATAGACCGTGAAGGGTCTTGAAAGCAAAAACAAACAGCTTGTGTTCTGATGTACTAGAGAAGTGGGGGAGCCTGTGGTGGGATTCAAAGAGAGGGGTGATGTGGTTAAAGCAACTGACTAAGAGAATGATCTTTGTGGCAGCATTCTGCACAAAGTACTGGAAACCTCATAAGTGCTTCCTTTCGTTACATTTCGATCCTGCTTTCTATTGAGGTTTGAATAAGTTTTCCATAGATTTCTGATAAGCATCTGAATTTTTAGTAGTTTAGCAGAACCTGCAAGCTATATTTGAGGTCCACCTGTCACTAATTGTAAATGGGCACTTCGATTTACATTTCTTCCAGAGCACAAATATTCCATGAAAAAAAATCACAGAATTTTGAGAAGCGAAAGAGAGAGAGTAATAGTGAAATCTGTTCCTCATTTTAATTGTATATATTTCATATGTGATGCAAACCATTTATTCCATAGTAATTGCAGATGTTAGCCTGAGACTAATAATGTAGCTGGCAATAGCTTTATTGCTTTGCCACCAAAAGCTTCCCAGTAGCAATAAAAAGATAACAGAAACAATAGTTTCAACACATTCATATGTATTGTTACTCTGGAAGCACTCTGTCTTCTGATCTATCATGTAGACTTTTACCGAGTATGTGTGAAGTCCAAACATTCTGTCAT